TTGGAAAAAATAGGAACAGTATTGCATTTTTTCAATTAATTATATTTATTTTTATTACTTCGTATTTATAAATTACCCAACTCATCCAAAAACATTCTAGAACCCGATAAAATGGACCAAGAACTTGAGCACATAGAAATCTCTTCTGCACTTACCAAACCTCCACCACATATTTTTATTCGTGTGGTTAATGATTATAAGGCTTTTTGTGAAAACATAAAACAACTTATGAAAGAAGAGGTTAGGTTAACCCTTCTTATGTAAAAGTTCTATCAGTGGCGTCAAACTCTTCACAAGCTCACCAGATTCGTATCGATCTGTTATTAAATTTCTACTAACTAATAAAGATTTTTTTCGCACATATCAGCTTAAAAAAGACAGAGCCTTTAGAATAGTTATTATAAATTTACATCACTCCACTCCAATTACTGAAATAAAAAAAGAACTCTCAGATCTCGGGCACATGCCTAGTAACGTCACAAATCGTTACACTAATGACAACACCACGTATCTGACATTTTACATAAAAGAATTTTTGGTATCAAAATATTTGTTATCTCCTTGCGCACAAAATTTATTTTTTGTATAATAACCTAAAATAAATTATTTCCTCTCGAAGTTAGATATATTATTTAGTATTTTTATAAATTTAAACCATGTTAAAGCATCAAATTGACACGGCACACTGGTGATGGTGGCGCACACACGTGTAACAGTAAATGATGAATTCACAAAAAAAAGAAAAATTAAGGCACCAATAATAAAAATAAAACTACGCGAAATATATAAATATCACGTCGTATATTCAATGTTAGATAAAATGTAGGATAGTCAAAATAGGTAATAATAATAATGATGGTCACTAAATGTAAAAGAAAATTGTAATCGAGATTGTGGTGAGACGACGAGGTGTCTTGTTGCACGATCTCGGAAAAACAGCACGGTTCAGATCGTGGTACCTGCGGACGTTGTCGCGACTGCGCGTGTCCCCTGTCCGGCGATGGATGGGGTGACGGGGTGTCGCGGCGACGTTGCGTGCCGCGAACTGATGGTTGATGAGAGAGATAAGAGCACGGGTCGGCGACGGCCGTTTCGATAACAGCTGCCGCACGGGTCCACGTCAAAATATCCCCCTCTTTATCTCAATCATTCAATGGGATGCCAATGGACTAGTGCGTTTAAAAAAAGGAACTTACTGCCTTCTTCTCAACAACTCCATTGATATTGTACTCATCAGTGAAGCACACCTGACACCAAACTCCTCCTACCAAAGGATCCTAATGATTCATCCCATGTGGGCTCTGCAATATTATTAAAGTCAAATATTAAACATACCATTCTCCTACCATATAAAAATAACATCATACAGTCCACTAATGTTCTATTAACTCTAAATCATATTCCTACCACTATCTCCATATATTTACTTCCGTCCTGGCGAAAATCTAAATCCTAACGATTTTGATCACTTTTTTAATTCTCTCAGTAATCAATTCCTGGTAGATGGGGACTTCAATGCTAAACATCCCCGATGGGGATTTAGCCAGCCAAATACAAGAAGCCGAATTATCAATAAATTTTTTCTCGATCACAATCTTAAAATAATATCTCCTCCTTATATTGGCCCTCACATGCAGACATCGTTCTGGAGTTTTTTATCACTACGCTCCTTAGTTATATAAAATACGCTGTTACCAACTCCGCAGATCTCTCTTTCGACCACATACTAATAATACTCATCCTAAACAACATTCCATTAACAACGAAAAAATATCCAACTATCATTCCAAGCAAAATAAACTTGAAAAAATGTAGTCAAACCCTAGATAATGTCGTCACTCTCAATATCCCCTTAAAAACCCATCTGAGTTAGATACTGCGGTACATTCTTTCGCAAATATAAATATATAAATATGTATACAGTGATCATCCAAAATGCTGCACTAGACGAATCCCAAAACAACCTGTCTACCTTCATACACATCCAATGTCTTACTCTCACACATAACACAAATCGTCACAGAAAAGCGTCGTGCCCGTCGTATTTAGCAAATAACACACTTGCCAAGAGATAGAAGACATCTCAATATTCTTTCTAACTCCTTAAAAAATATACTCCGAAAGTATAACTCTGATAAATTTCACAACTACTTGGAATCTCTCAGTCACGTGGACAACTCACTTTGGGGAGCTACTAAAAATATATTAAAGGAAAAAATTAAAATACCTCCCCTGCGGTTTTCTGACAACTCCTTATCAAATCTTAATAAAGCAAACTTAATCGCTTCAGACCTTGAAAATAGATAATTTATTCACTAGAAGCCACTACTCTCTTATTGAAGCCTCTCTTCTAAACACTCCCTTAATGTGTTTAATGTGTCCCAAAACATACCTCGCCTTCTGAAGTTCTAATATATATATATATATATATATATAAATATCATAAAAAACTTATAAAACTATAAATCCCCTGGCCACGACCTAATAACCAATACAATTGTTAAACATCTGCCTAGGAAAGCAATCTTCCTTCTCACTTATATATTCAATAATATTCTTCGCCTACTTTATAACCCTCCCACCTGGAAACACTCAGTTATTATCTTGATCCACAAACCAGACAAACCTCCTAATCAACCCATCTCATATGGGCTTATAGCCTTCTCCCTACATTCTCAAAAATTTAAGAAAAAAACATATTAAAAAGGGTTTATCCTATACTAAATGAAAAAAAAAAAATATTCCAAACGCTCAATTTGGCTTTAAAAGCAAGCACTGCTTTCTCCATCAACTATATAGAATAGTCGACAATATTGTCTCATCCTTTTAACAAAAAAAATTTTGTTCTGGGATTTTCCTCGACGTTACCCAGGCATTTGATCGGGTCTGGCATGAAGGGATATAGTTCAAATTATTATTTTTACCCACCCCGTTATTCCTCTCACTCAAATGATTCCTATCAGACAGTTCATTCTCAGTAAGTTATGAAGACGAAACTTCTGAACCACATCCTATAAAAGTAGGTGTCCCTCAAGGCCATATTCTATCCCCGACTCTCCATAATATATATACAGCAGACCAACCTTAATCCTTTAACATTACCTACTCTAGCTACTTTTGACAATGACACAGCCATAATCTCAACAAATTTCGAAAAAGCCACCACTACAAAGAACATCCAAGACCACCTAACTCAACTACTAGATTGGTTCAGCTTATGGAAAATTAAAATTAACGAAAGCATGTTCACTCACATCACTTTTACCTTTAGGCCTAAAACAATCTCCTATGTTAACATATATAACCAAATAATTATAAATGGACAAATCTGTCAAATACCTAGGTCTCACTCTCGATCAAAGATTAACTCGGGCTGATCACATCAAAACTAAAAGAACTTCGCTTAACCTCAGGTTTCACAAATTAAGACCGCTCCTCCGATCCAAAACCTCTCTTATTAATAAAATATTAATTTACAAACAAATTTTACGTCCCGTATCAACATATGGAATTAAACTGAGTGGTACCTCGAAAAACTTAAACCTAATCAAATTTTAAGTGTTCCAATCAATAACTCCCCGTGTCCTCTCCAATGCTCCCTGGTACGTTAGCAACCGAGCTCTAAACCCACCTACTAAATTGGTTCCCGTCTGAATAAAGGTATTTTATTAGGTATAGCCGAATTGATTCCCATTTGAAAAAGGTATTTCATTAAATTTAATTACGCACATTTCCTTCTCAATTTTACAGGCTTAGGACTGTCAACTTTAAAGTAGGCTTGGTTAATAATGTGCATTAATGTGTGTTAAAAAAAATGATTAAATATATACAATTTTAAATCGTTGATTTGGAAGTCAACTAGTCATCACTTAAGTATACGAAATATAAACAATAAAATATAATAAATATAATTTAAAACCACTGATTTGCAAATTTGAAGCTAACTTTCTTTAAATATTCAATTCTCGTAATCTTCTCATTAATGTACTCAATCATACAATTTTCCAAGTATTTGTTATTTATTTTCTGTTTGCTAGTAATTTGCTAGTCATTAGTAATCTATAATTTATTATATTACTATACTTTTTCTTATCGTTATAGGTAATAATTGTGTCTATATGTCATATATAGCTTTTAAAATTTTGTTTTTTGCTCTCTATACACTGGCCCGCTGGATTTTAATTTTTAATAGTGTAGGTAAATTGTGTTAAAAATTAAAATTGTCATTATTTTATCTGTACACTAACGGGAACCAATTCGGCTATTTCTAATAAAATACTTTTTTCAAACAAAAACCGATTCGGTTATTCCCAGCAACCGCATCCCATACCACGACCTCTCATAATTTTAACAATTTCCATAAAAACATCTTTAAACACTTTAATCCGCTCATATCTAAACTCTCTTCTTGCACAATACCTGACAATCCTCTCCATCGTCTTAAACGTAAATGGCCGCAAGATTTATTTAATAATACCTAGTAACTACTGAATATTATTTAGAAAAATTTACCTTCCCCATAAATTCATAATTTGGAAGTAGTATCACTGGACGTTCCCTTCCCTCGCGTTTGTCACGTTCAGTACTAATTTAATCTAATATATACTAATTGTTTTCTTATGTATTCTGATTCTAAATGTCTTTAAAAAAAAAAAAATAAATAAATACTCAAAAAATGTATTACTTAATATTAGAAGTCCTAACCTATCGTTTAGAATTAATGTTATACCTGAATAAATAGAAACTAATCACAATTTAAAATTAAAAATCAAAGCCCGCCTTTTTTATCAATATTTATTTATTTAAAAATATAAAGAGTAGGCATGTTACGTGTACTTATAGTTGTATTACCTACATATTTGTATTAATAATAACTGAAAAAGTAGATAGGCTAAAGAAGTTTGAATGTAGAATGAAATTATTTTTAACATCGAATTATTCAATATTTTTATAAAAGCAAAGCATTAATATAAAAATCTGTTTGCTTTCTATGATTTTAGGTAATACCAGGCTTGTATATTGGCAGTTTTAGAGACTCAAAAGATTTTGCTCAGTTAGAAAATAATCAAATAACACACATTATTTCTGTGTTAGATGCACCAAAGAAAATTCACCAAGTAAATACATTTTTGTTATCTAATGGTGAACATTGACTTATTTACTAATTTTATATAATTCAGGATAAAAACTATTTGTGTATTGAAGCAATCGATAGTCCCGAACAAAATTTAATACAATATTTTCAAATATGCAATGATTTTATACATAAAGCTCGTCTTAAAAGTCAAAATGTTTTAATTCATTGGTAGTATTTATTATTCACATAATAAATATAAATATTAATAAAATATTTACTATAAATTTAATTGTTACAGTTTGGCTGGGATGTCAAGAAGTGTAACTATAGCTGCTGCTTATATAATGTCAGCCACTTCTATTAAATTAAAACATGCACTTAAACTTCTAAAAGCATGTCGATCAATAGCAAGTCCTAACGAAGGATTTAATAAGCAACTTCAATATTTTGAATTAAATTATTTATTAGAAGTATGCAATATTTTTTTGTAATTTATTTGTCTAGAATATTGGTAAGAAAAAAACTAGTGATGTAAAATTTTGATTTTTAATACCTTAAATATGTTAGACATAAATAAAAATTTAAGTTTTGATTATTCAAGAGTTAAATACAATTGTCACCAAAATTCAAGTATTTTAGTTAAGATTTTAGACTGCATTAAATGTGGCTCTTGTCTTTTATTTAATATTTATTTATTTATTTATCGTTATGTGTAACAGTTTAGAGAAACACACATAATCAGTATACATGAGAAAAACAGAAAAAAAAAAATAAATAAAAAAATATTAGATAAATTAACTAATTCTAAAAAAAAGAAAAAACAAGTAAATAAAATATAGCAATATAACAGACATGCTAACTTTGTCATAGGTTTATGTGTAATGTTCTAATCCATTTGAGAGCTTCAGTGGATGCGTTATGGATTTCATACACTCTCTCTTAAAACCATCGATTGTGGCAGCCCCTTATAATATGTGGTTTATGGTTTAGACTGAGTGACTAATTGCATATAGGGCTAACTTTCATTCCCCATTTAGCTAGCAGCTTACCGCTTAGCATTCTTAAAGATAGGTGAGATTCACTAGGCATCTAGTATGCTACTGAAGAAGCCTTTCAACCATTATTTTATTTAGTTAACCTCTAGTTTAAGACAACATCAAGATCAAGCTTATTTCTTCCAAGTAAAAAATTGTTTAAGGAAATCTGGCTTTTTTCTATACAATTTAATAGTTTTTATGTTTAATGAACCATCATTTTCAATAAATTAATTTTATACAACTGTTGAAGTTCAATTTGAATAAAATTCTGAATAATGCTTTAAGTAGAAATTTAATTAGAATTACTTCTAGTTTTGGAACTGTGTTGTAGGTTTTAATGCAGTATAGGTATTAATAAATAACACATATTTTTTATTTTTCCAATACATTGAAATTTATATAATTGTGTTTTAAAAGTATATTTTTATACAAATAGAAATAATAAATAATAAATGCATTTTACTTGGTTATTAAATTTTTTTATACTTTAAGCAAAAAATACTTTGCTTGTAAATTAAATCCAAACTAATTAAAACAAACTAAAATACAGATTGGATAACTTGGAATTAAAATTAATATACTAAGTAAAAATGTTATTTGTTTTTTTTTTTTATAAATTTTTAAGAATTATATTTAAAAAGTTCTGACGTTGGAACATAATAATTATTAGTTCTAAATAAAACTTTTTTCTGATTATGTAATAAAAATTGCTTAAATAGGCTTATAAATAATAAGCCAATAATAGTTTCCTAAATTCTAGTGAAAACATTTATGTTAATAATTTAAATTTTTTTATTATATATATATATATATACATATACATATATATTTGTAAATTTTTTATTACAGGAAAGAACCAGATTAAAATCGCTGAGCAATTCTAATGATCAATTTACAGCAGATGAAGAATATTGTAAAAGAATAATTCATAATGGAGAAGACAAAAAATAAAAACGATTTAGTATTTAAATAAATTATTTATGAAAAATAAAACAATCAATACAATTTTAGAATTAATACTCGATAACACATTAATTAAATATAAATAGTTCAAAATTTAGTTTCAAATTTAATAAAATAAAATGGAAGACCAAACAAACAAGGCAAGTTACTAAAGGGTGAAAAAAATAATGGTTACATTATTTTTCATATAATTTACTAAACAAATAAATACTATTCATTAGATTTTATGATTCTTCGTACACCTCTTCCTGGTGCTTTAGGTTTACTGAATTTCGGTTTATCAGATTCTTTTTCTGGATATAGTTCATCCAATATATATTTTTCATTAATAACATCCTCGTTATCTATTTCCAACTATAAACATAATTTATTGTAAATACAATTATTTATTTATTCACAATTATAATATTTTTACTTTTTTATGAATTTTTAACTGATACAGGTTTTCCAACTCTTCAATAAAAGGTGATTTGCAACTAGCATATAACATTCTTACTTTTATAGGACATGTGTATCTAGGCATTGAGTAAATGAAAACTAAAATGATATAAATATATAAATATTAATTTAGCAACTTTAGTCATTGTTGTACTACAATTTACACTACTATTATATTACATATTCATTTTAAAATTTTATAGTTTTAATCTATTTTATCTGGAATATTGTTTAAATACTAAAAAATTAATTAATACATAATATATTTATAGTTATATTTATTAATTTTTTATACTTATTATATTATTTGATAAAAACTAATTTTCAACACTATTATTGTACATAATATATAATATACTTACAGACAGAATTTATTTGTGTACCATTTTTTTTATGTTGATACATATAAAGATGATACCTAGCATCATTAATAGGAACTTGTTCATTAAGATTAGATACTGATATATTACCTGAAGTAGCCAATTCAATACTCTCTTTTGTTATATCTAAAAATGATGATAATATTAAAATAATTTTATAAACAATTTTAATTAATTGTTGATTGTACCAATGTAAAACTGAACATAGTTAGTTTCACAACTGTCCACAAATTTAGAAAGTGCTGTAACTGCAGCAACAGACATAGGAAATTTAACACCAGATACTGCCTGAGAACGACTATCTATTGATACCGATGTACTATGTCCAACTTCGGCTTTTCGAAGTTCAGCAAGTTCTTCTTCACGAATTGTTAAAGGTGCTGGTGCTTTTTGAGACAACTGACTTTGTTCCAAACCATCCAAAGTAACATCAAGCTTTAAAATAAAATACAATAATACTACTTGAACTCTGAATATGTATAAAGATATGTTGAAATTACCATAATAGTTCCATGAAGTTCCTCTTTTATTTTAGCACTACCAAATTCTTGTTTGAGAGTAGCTTTTGTAGATGCATACAACATCTTTTGTCGAATAGGTGCTACATCTGGACACCAACTAATAAGAAGCCAATCATAGTTTTTGGTATCACTTTTAACATCAAATCTACAAATTAAAATTTCGTCATTTACAAATTATTCATACATAGACATCTTATCTCATATTATAAAAAAATAAAATTAATATACCTATATAATAAATAACATGGTATTTCTGGCAATATAAACTGTTTTATAATTTTTTCAAAATCATCCTTCCATGATTTATGATACTTTTCATGACCCGACAAAACAAGTTCTTCTACAGTAAAACAGCAAGTAATTATAAATTTGATCTTTATCCGTTATAATAAAATATGTAACAAAAAAATAATAATGATTCAGCTGGTAGAGTAAGTAACATGTACATAATAATTTATTCAAATCATCATTATAATGAGCTTCAATGTCAAGTGGAATAAGGTAACCATATCTATACTCAGTTTCCGGTCTAATCTTAAAAGTTGTGATGACCATATCAAGAGAAGAAACTAATACTATTTTTTTATCTACCTAACCCAATGTATTCAAAAGTTCTACTGCCTAAGCAAAAGTTACAATGTTATAAAACCACATGGTAGAAGGGAGGTTAGGTCTTGCCACTCTCTCAAGAAAATATATTGAACAAAAAAATACATTTAAATAATTGATCAGTAACTTCTAAATGAATTAAGGAAATAGCATAGTTAATAATAATACATAAATTAATTAAACTTAATATTCAATAAATTGCATAACTATATGGTAGACTGGTAATATATTCAAGATTTTAGCTACTAATTTTAGTTAATTAAAGTCAACAAGTAAATTTATAAGTTATATTTAAACTTTATAATATAAAATATTTAAACATTATTTAAACGGTATTATTATTATTATTTAAACTGGTATTCTAATAATATGAGCAGTTTAGATTGGTTAAAAATGTATATTCTGTACTAGTAATGAGGATATTGAATAATTAGTAGTCAAAATAAAATAATTAAATAATTAGTAATTACTCCAAACAAAAATAATCGGAGAAGTAATATTACTAATAACTATTTGAATCATTGATCATTTGAATGAATTTATAATTAGCATTGCTTGAACTAATTAATGAATATATAAATACAAGAATAATAATCTATATCTAATTATTAATAGTGTGAAACATTAAAATTCCTTTTCAATACAACAAACTATATTATTATTTAATATTACTTCTGAGTTCTGAATATTGACTATTATAATTTATAAAATTCAGTATTAATTTGATAACAATTTTTTATTAATTTTTATTTGAATGTTAACAAATAATTCATTCAATTCCATCAGATTATTTCATTTGATAATTCTCATCACTATTTTGCATTAGGAAATTCAACATAACAATGTCTAATAACTGACATAATCATATAATCCTAAATTGCCTACATTAAATGATAGTAAAGTTTTTACAAATAAAAGCAATACAGAAAAATCAAAACAAAATACTTAATAAATTATACAATTGATATTGCCTTATAACTAGGTATAGAAATTATTAACAATTATGAGAAAACTGAGTATTTTCTTAATTATTGTTTCTTCTGGAAACAGATATATATTAATTCAGCCTATGAGAAATAATACTAATTAAATAAATTGAACTTAGGTAAATATAAGTAATTTGAAAGTAAACTTCAAGAAAATAATTGAAATATGAACTATTTTACAAGTTTTTTCTTAAAAGATAGATTAAAATTGTGGAGACATCATAAAATAGAAATGTACTTGTAAACTGAAGTAGTTCAAATTTAAACATAGGAAAAAATAGAACACATAAACTCAATAGGTTATGCTTGGTTGAGTATAAAATGAAAATTGAATTAATTTTTTCTTCATAAGTATCAATTTAAACGATGAACTAACCGTCTACAATGGATACTTTGATCGCCCGAATGCTTTTGTCCGACGCTGCTTTACTGAAGAATTTCTTTAACGCATCGTTAGCTGAAACAACCACAATGTGTATTTTATAAGCCATTCGTCGGTTTCGTTAATTTTGTAAACGCCACGGGAATTTTGGGGTGTACCTTTGATTCCGGTTTGGTGTGACATTTTAGCCGTAAAACGAAAAGTAGAAAATCGGACAGGAGGCTGATTACCCCCAGCGGTATAGTACACTCTTATGTTCGGTCGGCTACCGCCGAGTCCGTTAACAACAGAAGTCAGACGAACGACGGATCAGATCAAAGATTGTTGTTGATGTAGAAAATTATGGGCGCGCAATTGCACAATAGTAGTGAACAGTTACGTGCAACGGCCCGTGATCTTCTGGCCGATCTTAACGAAATGAATTGTACACACATACCATATGCTCGTACGCACGCGCAACAGATCACAATGTGTATAATAATGATGAATAGTGATGACGACGTTGATAGGTATTGATAAGAGGGCCATGGTTACGATGCATTGCAACCTGGTTTCTCGACTGATCCTTTGTGTTTTGTACCGAACTCGTTTCCCGCCCAACGTTAACCGATCTCCCGCCCAGTCCGCCATATTATTCGTGTTGTCGTTTGTTTACCCTTTATAATTTCCGTTCGTCAGTTGACGTAAACCGTTTAATTTTTGTTTTCCATTCGTTATTTTGTGTCAATTGATTTAACCGATTACACGTAGTTTTGTGATTTTTATTCCGCTTCCAATGCTGTGTTCGACCATGCGTTTTGTTGTCGTAAAGCCCGACCGTGTGTCCGCCTAAGCACCAAGATCGAAAAGAAACGTACCGTTATCACCGACTTGGGGATTTCATTGACAAGTAAACAATAATTGCTTCAATTTTCATTTTTTGAATAAAAAAACTCGACACTCTAATCAAATGAATTGTGTAGTTATTGTTTAATGGTTTTTTAGGTATTCTACCGCGCCAATCGTCGTCCATTCATCATGTTCTATTCACACTTCTCGTTGTCCAAGAAAGGGCCGCTTGCCCGTATTTGGTTGGCTGCCCATTGGGACAAAAAGTTAACTAAAGCACAAGTATTTGAAACCAATATTGAAACTTCTGTTGATGGAATATTACAGCCAAAAGTGAGTAATAATATTACTTCAGAAATACTTAATAACATGTTGCTAATCGTATTATTATTATTAGGTGAAAATGGCTCTTCGAACCTCGGGTCATCTTTTATTGGGTGTGGTTCGAATCTATTCGCGCAAGGCTAAATATTTGTTGGCAGATTGTAATGAAGCATTTGTTAAGATTAAAATGGCTTTCCGGCCTGGTATGGTTGATTTGCCTGAGGATAATCATATTGCAGCCGCCAATGCTATTACACTTCCAGAAGTATTTCATGATTTTGATACAGCCATGCCTGACTTGAAGTAATTTATTACTATTAAAATACTACAGTTATCTATAAAATAAGATATTTAACACATTGACTGCCACATGACCGCTGGCAACCCAAATGTCATTTAGTGTGAAGCCAAATGGGTGGCCAGCGACCCAACTTATATTATTATGAAGCTACTTGGGTCACCGGTTACCAAATTCATCATAAACCTATATGTATTGTATTTTAATATGACTTGGAACTAAAATATTATAATTTTTACCACGGCATAGACAAGATAAAATAGATCGTTTTGAAAAAAAAAAAAACAATCAAAACTTTTAATTTTAATTTTAAGAAATGTATTTTATTAAAAAATGTATATTATGCATATAAATACTATATATGCATACAAATTAATTTTGAAATTCTTGATGTTGAAAACATTGAATACAAACAAATGGTTTTGTTGGACAAACACTACAAAATGTTGTCACTTTTAGCTTTGTTCACTGCTTCTCTAAAAATATGTTCAAAATCATTCTTCTTCTTTTTAGGCTTATAGCGGTCCATTCAAGACCATCACCACTTTTAAAATGCCTTTCCACCTGTCCCTATTCATTGCCGTTCCCATATCTAGTAGTGGGTTGTCTTAAGATATTTTTCTATTCTATCCCACCATCTTTGTCGAGGTCTGCATCTTGGTCTTTTTCCCGTTATTTTGCTTTCCGCGACTTTCTTAATTATCATGTTTTCGGCTCTCCAGACATGACCTGCCCATTTCAACCTCTTTCTAATTAAGAAATGTCATAGACTCGGCTTATTGCATAACTGTCGCAGGTTTTCATTGTTTCTTTCAAATCTTTTTAAGTTATTGTTGTATACTGGTCCATATATTTTTCTTAATATTTTCCTCTCAAAGTTCAGCAACTTTTCTTCATCTCCCTGGGTTCTAGATCATGTCTGTACACTAGTTCATGTCTCGGATGCATACGTCATTATGGGCCGCATGTACGTACAGTATAGGTGTTCTTTTGTGTGCCTGGACAGTAACTTGAAGGAGAACATTCCTTTCATTGTGAAGTAACATCTATTTGCCGCATTTATTCTCATCTTACTTTCGTTATGCATGTTGTTTTTTCGTTTATGTTTACTCCCAGCTATTTGAAATCTTCTACCTACTCGAAAGAAAGATCTCCAACCCTGAGATTACCCTTCGTCGTTGTGTTCCTAGTCATTACCATATATTTGGTCTTGTTCTCGTTTATTACTTGTCTCATATTACTGCTGTACTTAATTTCTTAGTTTTCTTGCTCTCTTCTCGACATCATGTTTGGATTATCCTAATAAAATAATATCGTCTGCATAAGCAAGCAGTGTATGGGTCCCTATTACGTCCATTTCTTTCGAGTCTTGTATATTTCTTACTACCTTTTCTAGGGCTAGATTAAATAACACTGGGGATAACGCATCACCCTGTCTCAGGCCAGCCTTACATTCAAATATTGTGGATAATTCTCCTAAAAAACGTACTTTACAATAGATTTGTGCATTACACATTTGGACTAGTGCTACTAATTTTTCCGATATGCTAAAGTTTCTCAAAGTTATCCACAGTTGTTCGCGACTAATGCTGTCGTTTAAAGTTTTCGAAAAGCATATGGAAGTCTTTATTATACTCGTAGTGTTTTATAATTTATAATGTTCAAATTCATTAAAAAATGTAATTAAATAAGTATAATTTTTTTAATTTTAACTTGTATTCTAATTCATTGGAATATTTACTGTAGCATTCAGTGCACCTTCTTATTTTTCTATTTAGTATTTTTCTTCAGTTTCTTCCTGTTTATGTTTAAAAATTTCTCTTCTTTAGTATCTATTTTCCACTAATCTGGCTGTGGCAGATTTGTGTAAAATAGCTGTTTTTGATGTAGGTTCCAGTTTAAGAAGATTATCTACGAGAACTTCACGAAATTGGCGGATGGTGAGTTTTTTTTGAAAATGTTTTGAATGCGTTTTCTATAAATGTATTCAACATTATCTCTGTTGCTATTTTGTGATACCAATGAATACTTTTTCTCATCGGGATACAATATGATGTCATCTAGTCGGATAAATCCCGGCTTTTCCAGCGTTATAGAATATCTGGTTTTATTATCCTCATTATTTCTATTTTTTCTTTCAGTTCTTGAAATGTTTAATAAATGTCGGGTTTAAAGTAAATAAATGTCACGTTTATCTTTGAATTTTGATACAACTACCTAGAATTATTTTCTAGACCTACAATTTCCCATTTTTTAATTTTTTTTTCGATTACAGCCTTTGGTAAAAATTGTCTGTTTTTCTTAAAGTTCCGACCAGTATTTTGTAATAAAAATTTTTCAGCTTTACTCCTATAGTCGGCTAATGATGTTATTTTTACTAGTCTCATCCATAACAAAAGACCCATACATTTTTCCATGTTATCCTTAGTTATTGGTTCCCAAGAAGAAAATCTATTGCCCCTTGAAATTCATTGTGAACTCAACATTTGTTGTGTATTTCTATTTGTTTCAATAACCATAAGTAGTATTATTTCGTTAGTAAGAAACAAATTGAATTAATCTATAGCAGCGATTTCTAAAATGTGTTCCGAGGGACAATCTTAAGGGTTCCGCAAGGCAGTGGCGCAACCACGATTTTTTAAGGGGGGGGGTTGTCCTAAAATACAATTATTTTAAAGTGGTTAGTAATTTGAATTATTATTTTATTGTTTGATAAATGTAAATATTATAATTATAATGTAAAATTTAATGATAATTAAATGTATTATGTAAAAAATAAAGGTAAAAGTTATGTACAAGTTTATAAATTGAAAATAAGATACTCGTAGACTAAGGTATATAATCATGTTATAATATAACATAAACAAAGGGGGTCTGGACCCAGGGACCCTCCCCTGGTTGCGCCACTGCCGCAAGGTGTATATAAATATTGAGAACGATAATTGTAGTAAATAATAATCATGAACTATCTTTAAAACCTTTTTCGGAGTATAGGTTTTACAATAAAAATAAATGAAAAATTAGGGTCAAGTTGGGTTTCCACGAAACAAATATTTCCTTAGGGTTCCGTGGTCGTAAGTTTGGGAACCGCTGATCTATAGAACCACTATCTTCGTCTAAAATAACTGAGAGTCCGTGGTTTCCAATAAAATTTAAATGTTTTTGATTATTACTAGTGATAGGAATAATCGAATCATTCGATTATGAAAATAATCGAATTATTTGAAAAAGTTGCGTGTTTTACTTATTATACTTAAGTTACTAAATTAAGAAGTCGACTCTCTATCAGTATTGTATTATTATTTATTTTATTTTTAACCATTGGTATAATTCCCGGTATCGGTAATCGCCACACTAATCGTTTTAATACATATTTGGATTGAAAATGCATTTCACTTTCACGCTTATAGATAATCATTTATTATTTATACAACCAGTTCATGCTGTTAAATCGTGAATCATTCGATTATTCGATTATTTTGTTTTCAACTACTAATCATTTGATTATTCGATTTTTTTCCCATTATTCCCGCCACTAATTATAATCTGAAACTGCATTCTAGACGAATTGATTATTTTGTAATAATATCTTGTTATTCTGCAGTTGGAATATTTTGATCAGACGAATCTCTTAATGAATCTTGAAAATCACTATGACTTTCACTTTCAATTCGAAATAATGGATCGGCATCACTGTCATCGATCCTTTCATTAGACGATTCATATGAATCATTAAATTAATTTATAATCATACGTTCGTCCATTTTGTTAAATTATGACGAATTCAACCCTTTCAGATCCTTAGGTCACTTTTGTGACCCAATGTTTTCAAATAACGAACACAAATTTATTTTATATTTCGATAATTCTATATACGTCTCACTGCGGTATGTTTCTAAGAATGCGATAATATGGTTGTTATTTTTCACACAATATTGGTTAGACTTATATTTAGATATTTATACAAGACAATTATCAGGAAAATAAATTTTTTCTTTTTTTACTTTTAATTTAAAATTAAACTTGGTGATAACATTACATCCGATTAATACACGTATAAAAGTAAATAAGTCATTTGTGGAAATATTACCATTGACAAAACTGTTCTATATTCTATACGTACGGTACGAACGTTTGAAAGTTGGGTCATTATGTGACCCATCGGTCTGAATGGATTCAAATTTTTATGAATACGGGAAACGAGCAAATTGCCGGTCGCCAGCGGGTAATCGTTTATTTATTGTAAGAAACGTTTTGTTTATATTTTATATGTATATTCTTCTGGTATACAATATAGTATTATTATTTCGAGTAATTGTTAATTAAATAAATAAAAAAAACATGCTTATAAAAAAATATGAAATGGTTACAACAACCATTTGACGACAATATTAAATTTAGACGATATTCAACTTGTAGGTGCATCAGAAATAATGCTTTTTCCTATTAACCATTTCAATAAATATTTTTCGAATGCCGTCTATGAACAAATTGTATTTTACACTTTATTATTACAGTCGAAAAGAAAATACATTTTCTCCAGACAAATTGTTTGAAAGAGTTTCACGTAAAAAAATAATCCTTTCATTATTTTTTAATTTATAAAAAGTTAAAAGTTGTTAATTTTTTTAATTTTTTTTTTTTTAACTATGAAATGGTCTTACAAAGTTTAATTTTGTTTGTTCAACTAAAAAGTATATTAAAAATGCTATAAAATAAATGAAATTGTTGTTCAATACAATCCTTATAGACCTCTGGGTCACATATGTGACCCTACTTGTATTTCCGCGAATATAGGTGCAAAAATTATAAAACGTCATACTTAACCTAAATTATAAATTTATCAAAAAAAAAATTCAGGCCTGAAAGGGTTAAAACATTAAATAAATAAATCAACTTCAATATAATCGTCACGACGAAAATGAATGTCGACTGACGGTAGTATAATAAATGATAAATATTGTGAAAATGGCAATGTAAAATAAATAGCCAAAAAATTACAAATAAAACCCGTAAAAACCAGGGAAACAACAATTTTATTTACTGGCTAAATTTAGAACAAGAGCCGCCCAGGGATAAAGTTACATTACTTGAAGACCGCATGACCGCCGGCGACCAATATATTTTTTTTTTGTGTATTATTATACAAGATTTGTTTATTAAAATCATATACATTTAATCAAAATCAAACTATTATAACTATTTTTATAAATATAATTAGTTCTGATAAAGAGGCATAAAATTGTTTGGTGTTCTATAAGCTGAACTGACTTGGGTCGCCGGCGGTCATGTGGCAGTCAACGTGTTAAATACTTATTCTTAATTTTATAATTTTTTAGTGATGTTGATATTGAAGCTCAATTCACTCTTAATCAATCAAGAGCTGAGGAAATTACTTTGCACGAAGATTATAATATTAGCTCTATGGTTTCTAAAAATTCTGGTTTTGATCAAGGATTTGGATTCTCGGAGGTTGAAAATTCTGATATACTTCGTCATGGGATTGAACATTCTCTATTATTCAGTGAAGGTGTTGACCATTTAATGAACCGTGACAAAGAACCTATACCTTCTACATCTGCTGGGTCTGGAATGTTAAGTCAAAATAGTTTAGGAATCGATGCTCCAATTAGAGATGATGGGTTTGGAGGAAATATTGGTCAAGTAATTCCAGATAACTTTTTTCAAGCTGGCGGCTTATTTGATGATGTGCCTGCTGCTCCTATGGAAGTGAATGATGGTCAAGGCCCTCCTAGTCCACCACCATTTAATACGCCTATTCGAAATGATGATGATGACGATGATTTTATGCCTCCTAGTCCAGGAAGACACAGTTCTGATGGTTCAAGACCAGCCTCACCTGTTAATTTACCATTCCCTAATGCAGGTGCATTAGGTCTTATACCATCACCAACCCATGATCAAACATTGATGCCACCACCAGATATTGATATGAATGATATGCATGATATACAAGCGTCTGAAGAACCTGAGCCATTAAATGAACAGAATATAGATGCTTCTGTAGATCAAACTACATTAGTACAAAATGATGAAGAAAGTTTTGCTTTAGGACCAGTTGATGCTAGTGTATTAAGAGGCTTGCCAAAGACAAAGAGAAAGCGAAAACTTATTGTAGATGAAGTGAAAAATATTTCTGGAGAAGAAATGAAAGCGCAATTAAGTGACACAACAGATATTGTAATAACATTAGATTTAGCTCCACCAACCAAAAGACTAATGCATTGGAAAGAAACAGGTGGTGTAGAAAAGTTATTTGCTCTACCAGGAAAAAATATACCTGCTATACCATTAGCTAAAGTAAGTTGTATAAATTATGTAATCTTTTAAATATTATTTTTATTAGATTTAAATTGAAAATTAACTATTATTTTTACTTACAATTTTAGAATTACCAAAGACACTTAACAGCAAAGACTTTAACTAATGAAGAGGTTGAAGGTGAAGGTGGTGCTGAAGGAGATGAAGAAAATGTATTACCTGCTTTAGCTGGTCCAGTTCCTGCTCGTCGTGGTCGTAAAAGAAAAACACCCTTAGATGATGATAATCAAAGACTCGCCAAAAAAGATGCTTTACCTGCTTTACCAGAAGTACCTCCTCAAGTTGTAAGTGCATGTCAAACATTTTTTAACATGTTTATAATTAATATAAATATATTAAATAATTGTACTGTTATAAAAATCGGTATGGTTATTTTTAGGAATCAATGGAAGTTGAAACTCCTGCACCTTTGTCAGTAGCACCTCCTACTCCAGCCATTCCTGAAGAAACTGAAAATATTGAAATGAATCAACAACAGCCTGTTGAACAATTACCATTTATAACATCACCAATAAATGATGGACAAATGTTACCACCTGGAACTCCAGCACACAAGTCTAATGAACCAATTAGTAATGAAGATCCGGTAATTATTAATTACTTTATATATTCAAATAATTCTTGTACTGATACTTTTTTGTGAAAGATATGATTTAATTATTTTTAATATATTAATTGATAAATTATATTTTATAATTCTTTTTAATTAACTTTCTCTTATATAAGATTTATAGAATATTAGTATATTATTGATATTTTAATACTTTTTCTCTATTATGATAAATAATGGTGTTAATAATTATAACTATGTAATTAAAAATCATAAGTCTAAAAATATTTTTTGTTTAATCAAATATTTTAGAATGTAAATGCATTTGATGATCTACAAGCCCCTCCATCAGTTGATACTTCAGTTGTAAACAATCAATCAATGCAACCAGAACTACAAAATATGGGATACGACAATCATATAAATCAAGTAAGTAACTTAAATAAAACTTGATTTTTTTTTTTTTTATTTATTTAAGTAACTTAAATAATGTATAAAAATGTACCGAATTTTGTTTATAGTTGCAATTTGTTTAATACTCTAAATAGTAAAATAAATATTTTACTATGTATCTTATAAATTACAATTGTGAATATAATTATTTTCAGTCAACTGATTTTAATCCAGTTATTATGGATAATATGGGATATGATGGTCATCATAATGCTCCTGTTACACCAGGTTTACCATCACCAAGAGGTGGTGCAACACCTTGGCGTGATCCAGATTATGATTACCCTGCATCTGTTGGACCTGTAAGCCATTTATTTAAATATTTTTAGTTTGTCTTTGTTTGGTTTGTACTCACAATAGTATTTTATTTAAGGTGGAGGAGCAACAGGCCCCACATGAAACTAATGAACAATATGAAGAACGAGTAATGAACAAAAGGGCTAATCAGTTGTATCATACAATTAAAACGAGATTTGCTCAAAAAGATACTCTTGTTTTTGATGATCTTACTTACAGAAATCGAAGAAAAGAGGTATATTTTTATTATAAATTCAAAACATATTTTAAATTTAATAAATTTAATTAATATTTTATTATTAGAATTTAATTTTCTTAACTATAAATATTAAATTAAAATTTTTTTTTTCAATATAACAGGCAGCCCAAAAGTTTTATTCTGTTCTGGTATTAAAGAAGTATAAAGTCTTAGAGCTTATACAACCAGCACCATATGACCCCATTGAGCTGATAAAAGGTCCTTGCTTCACTGATCCAAAACTGTAAACATATTGTCTACGAAGCATAACAATATTTGTAAAATAGTATTTTGTTCAAAATATATTTGCTGAGTACAACATACTGTGTGTTTAATGCAAATAAAAAAAATGAAAATATTAAGATGTTTTTAGATAAAAAAAAAATTAGGCATACATTTTATTTGAGGGATTTTGTTCATTTTAATTATTTTTATTTGTGTTATTAATATTGGTATACAAGAGGTCAAATTATCATTTGAATGATAATAAATATAATTTTTTACGTTTGGTCCTCCAATTATTTGATCTAATGTATACTGTCATATTTATTGTAGGTAATTTTTATTAAGTTAAAATGCTAATTATAATCATGGTGAAAAAGTATCAAAACCCTTAATTTGAGATATATTTAATTTCTGTAACTCGGATTAAGTGGTGTTCCATGATTATTAATTAACATCCTATTGATTCCCTGAATAAATTAATCTCAAAAATATTTTATTTTTAATATTTTTTCATAATGAAATGATTCTAACTTATTCATACATATACATTTATTTTGTTTATTTATTTATTTTTTTTTTTTTGTAAGTCGATTATGTTTAGTTTATGTTGAGTAAACATTTATAGATAATAATATATAATTAATAACATTTTTGTATGTTTGGACTTTAAAATAACCGAGTCATTTTCTTGTGTTGACATATTATGTTCCAATTATATTTATTTAAAATGTAATGTGATTAAATTGTATTATCTTTAATTTTAGGTACTTGGAATTGTATTAGCTATAAGTTTATAGATGATAATTTTAAACTCCGTTTATAGTTAACTTATATCATGATTTTCATGTATTTATTAATTTATTTCATAAAACGTGTTTAAATTTACCTATGTTATTTCTAACAATTTTCATATCAATTTACCATTTTCACGAGGAGAAAGGGTGTATGTTTATGAACGGTGAGAAACTACAATTATGATATTATACATATTTTAAGTTTTTATTATGAAATTGACTTAGCATGTGCATAAAATGTATAAGGAAATTAAATATTTGTATCTTTGATGACGAAATTGCCTTTCGACATATGTCGAAGTTAATAACAAATTAAAACTAAGGCCTCTTGTTCACATGAAAGTTTTTTCGCCTTGTGCAGGCACGATTATCAGTGTAGTATGGACCGTTATGGATGGAAGCTTGTTGACAGGCATGGCGCGTCCCGTTTACGCACGGTACGATATCCATCGATGTATATTGGAAGGCTACGGATGTTTCTACGGCGGACGATGATATTTTTGTTTTGTAAAACTTATGTAAATAAAAAGTTGTTGATTATATTGATTCATGAAAGGTCTGTTGGTGTGGCGTAAAACTACTTGTATGTTATCTATACATGTGCTAAACAATGATTATTTTTTTGCTTATTATTACTCGTGAGACACGTCTACGACTCGACATAAAAACCATGACGTGCCGTTATTTTGGACGATAGTTTTACTGTCATATAAACGATTATTTCACGGCGCGGTTCCTTGTGAACTAGGGGTGATTTATTTTTTCTTAATGAAATATTAATAAATTTAATAAAATAAAACTAATTTAAATTTATATTTAAGCGTTATTATAGTTATTAATATTATTAGGCTGTTTATAAATTATAAGGAATAATTTACATTTCAATTAAATGTGGTAGGTAACTGGTAATGCATTGTTGAAATAATTTTTAAATCCTAAATTTTGTTTACTGTAGACCTGATATAAGCAGTCTGAGATCTAGGAAAAATAAAAATATGACGCCTTGTCAACAGAAGCCGTAGGTATCTATGCACACTTCTCTACATATTAGTATTATAAAACAAATTATTAATTACAATTTTCATAACAAAATTATATTTTTATCTCTACAAATTTCTGTATTTCTTTAAAATACCTATTATATTTCGTTTATATTTATTTTAAACAATAAAAATTGAATTAAAGAAAAGTAAATGTTTGAGCCCCCTTAAAAACGAAAACCATAGTTGACTTCTGTCTAATAGTAAATATGACCCAGTCTATTTATACAAATAATCTACAAGATGCCTATCCTAATATTTCAATGGAATATTAAATATTTTTAATTTTATCTGTGACTATTGTTTTATCTAGCTAATTCATTGACAACCACGTCAATATCTACAAGTATATATTCATGAACATTTAATAATACTAAACCATTTAGCCTAGACTCAGTCTTTGTAGAACACAAACATTTTTTTAACCTTTTGAGGCTCGAGAATTACCTTTCATTGATTGCTGAGTAAACTAGATGCGTGGCAAATATTTGTAAGAGAATTCTTATGTTTAGGAAAAATTATTTTTTTATTATCATATTTAATTCATTATTACACTTTACAGTAAATATGATGATATATGGTTACTAAGTAATTTATAACACTACAAAAAAAGTTCAACAGGAACGGTGAGTGCTTCAGCCCCCTAGCAAACCCTAACCTCTAAATCCGGCACTGATTTCACGAATATTTAAATAAGAAAAAAAAATAATTCAAGTAGATTTAAAGCCGTCATGATAAATTTCTGTCTATATCTTTCGCAAGCGTAACTAGTAATTTGTTCGTTATGATATAACGAACACTAGTGGCGGATTTAACGGTCGTTTGGTCGACGGGGCCCCTTCCTAAATCGTTTATCGAGGTCCAGAAAAATTTATAGTTAATTTTTTTTAAATTTTACGACAAAAAAAAATTATATTACAAACTGTAATATCGTTTACAATTACCATTTTTATTTATAACAAAATAATTTAAATATACGGGAAATTCTCAGGAACACTCCGATTATTTCAGAAATAGAACATTTTATTTACGAACAAAGTCGAAAAGATCGAATATATATATATAATGTAGATATAATTAGAAATACTGTTGCTTATGGAATTCTATATAATTTCCGAGTATGAACACTATTCGAGTATATGACCGATTTATTATCGGTTTCGCTGCATCACGTTATTTCTAATGTACTATTTTCCATTATCGTATCGTAGAAACGCGAGTGTAGCGAGCAGCTTTGTAAAACGGGGCTAAGAATTTTAGTGATAAATTTATTACGAGGCCCCTCTTTTGGATTTGCCGACTTCATTTGAACCTTTAAATCCGCCACTGACGAACACAGGCCACAGTGAGCTTAACGCTTAAACATTTTGAAGCTCACAAGTAGTTAACCGTTAAATCATTTGGACAATCAAACATTTAGTCAATCATAAATCTAACATTTGTAATAAACTATTGCGGAGTCTCATTCCAATATTTATCTATGGTTTATTGTACAGCATTGCCATTTAATAATTTCATTTTTCGGTTTTAAATGTTTATTTAACATCAATAAACATTTTAAGCGATTCGATGTACATCACACTTATATGTTCAATTTAATAATAATTACGAGTGCGCGCCGTATGTACCGAATATACCAGAGCACATACTTGCTGCACATAATAACACGACCAGTGTTAGGACTTATCTTGATAAATTATTTAGATAATTATTTTTTTATCTTATCTAGATGAATAATTATAGGTCATCTAAGTATTTATTTTAGCTAAAAATTTCACTTATCTGGATAAATTTATAAGATAATTTTTTTTTGAAAATTAGCCACATTTATTTGAAAATGTTTCATTTTTTTTCTCATTATCTCGGGCACAATTTGTACGTAAAATAACATCTTGGGCTAAAAATATGTTATTCTGAAAATACTATAAATTATTCCTATTTAGTACTTATTACTGATTACTTATATTACTTGTATAGTTATTAATTAATAATCATATAGTAATATTCTGTACTCGGTTATATAATATATATTATATATATATATAATATACTAATCCATTTATATAAATATCTTATACTACCGTAGTTGTTTGTCGCGACCAGTGTGATTTCCCAGAATTTTATAAATATTTAAAATTAGAATAATTTATTTACATTAAAAAAAAAAAAATTGTATCCTTCATTTGAAGTATTTTTTGTTTTTTTTATATTTTCTCAATAATGTTTATATTTTATTTTATGTTTTTGTTTTATAAGCTATAGGCTATAATAAATATTATTTCTAAAAAATTTTTAGATAATATTTAGTATTATTAACTAGGTGTATTTTGTTTTTGATCCAATCGACAATCAACATCTACTTTACTGCAGGGCGATTTTTATTTACACCTTTGTCTTACTCCCTTATGTTGTGTTATTTATCTAGCTAAAATATTTTTATCTTTTTGATAGATGAATTTGATTTGTTCATCTTTTTTCTGTATCTTAGATAAAATGTAGTGTTGTTATTTTTATCTTTATCCAGATGAATTTTTTGTTATCTGTTCCTAACACTGAACACGATACAGGTTCAAAAACAAATGATACCTGTACAAAAGAAGTTAACGAAATGAGATGATTGTAATAACGAGATGTTCGATTTAATTGCCGACCAACTGGAAGTATGTTATTTCCGATGGTTCGGCGAGCATGACGTCACCCGTGAGCGTAATGCAATGACAATGTTATACGCGCAATTAAAATACATTATTTAAATAGTGACGTCACGTAGACGATATGGGATGAAAACGCTATTGATACCTTTTCAGCTACACGACTGAGCATAGAATATTTATGCAACATCACCACATTCACGTACCCGAAATTTTGTCACTTATATTCTTCATGTGTTATTCACCAATTATCAAGATACTAATTTTAAATAAGCCCAGCTTTATCGGCAACGTTATTGCTTAGTTTAATGCAATAAATATTATTCTCATGCGTAATATACTGACATTTTAAACATTTAAGGTACGGCTCCACTGAACGCGATTTGCGATACGAGCGATATTGTTCAGCGATTTTTACGATTTTGGTGTGGTCAGTCCCTCATTTTTATTGTTTTGCAGTGGATAGTTTTAATTATCAAGATGACTTCGTTCAATTAAAATTGCGAGCGTATAATACTTTTATCCGAAAGTTCTGCTTCAATAGAAGCAAAAGTTGAAATGTTTAAAGAACGTTTATGGTAGGGTGACCATATGTCCCGTTTAAAATGGGACTGTCCCTTTTTTATCATTATGTCCCGTTGTCCCGACAAACTTTGAACGGGACGCTTTTTGTCCCATTTTTAGAATAGGAGGGACCTGTTTTAATCCAGTTACTAACAACGAATTTGACCACCGGGATACCGGGAAAGTGGACCGGTAGTCGTATTATAACATTGGGCCGATCTACTTGGATTAAAAATTATTTTATAAATATAATGTATTTAAGTATATTATATTTAATTGTAAGATTTTGATGAAAACCTAGTTTAAACGTGATGTAAACAGTTCTACGAGCATTTAATCCATGAATAAAGGAGACTTTTAAAGAAAATTATTATTATTAGATGGTGGGCCGGTCATACGGTAATTTCCCGAGCCGAAATGTTTAGCCAATTCACCGCTGCCCGTTACATCCATAAAAATTGTAAACCGAGATTAAAAGAAAAAAATTAGACTACTATAGTTACTATAGTTTTTGTTATACTTACGACGTTTTACTGTTGTTTTGTCATTAATTTTTGATGAAGACGGTAACGGTAAATCAGTGGAGTTATCAGTGCTCATATTAACCGAAGTTGAAACTTTTTTAATTATAAATTTGTCCATACTTAATATACCTTTTTTAATATAAAATGTATTAGAAAATACGAAAATATAACGAAATTACTCAGACACAACGCGCACAACACGGTTATTACGATTGAGAATAGTGAGAACGTGCTTATTTACGTACCTACCTACACATAATGCCAATTTACTATTTATCAGTTATGATTACTTTGTAATCATTACGAGGTAAAAATATCTTCATAATTGTTTTTCTTATCTCTGGGTTTTACTAGGTTTTCATAATTCATAATTTGTTCGGCGACACACGCTGTATTAAAATGTGACACACTAGTGTGTCGCGACACACCGGTTGAGAACCACGGATATAGTATATATATACACATATATATGTACTACAAACTCATGTGCGAGACTTCTAACGAAATCGATATTAAATACGAATAGTTTGCCAATATACAGTACTATTTATAATCAACGATATTCGGTATAATAGGTATATTAGGTATATTAATCGAAAAATCGAACATAGTCGTGCAGTAATGTATATATATTGCAACGATCTTTTGTTATTAATTTTATAGCCACTGTGTATCAATTCTTTTTATTTAAATTGTTGTGAGTTTTATTACTTTATATTATATTTATTATATTGTTATTACTTTTATTGTTTTTTTAAAATGCCTAAAAATAAATATTCATTCACTGTAGGTTAGGGTTATTTATTTTGTCTCTGACATTAATTTATTTGTTTAGTTTTAAAATGTTTATTATAAGATACCTAGATATTATTATACTTGGACAGTATTTTTAGTTTATTTCGTTATTAAACTTATTTACTTATATTGAAATACATATTGCTACTAGTTGGTCACCAATTTTAAATTTCAATTAAATCGTATTAGGTTCTATTTTAAAAAACAAAAATAATCAGAAATAATCATTATTTTCATTTAAACGCCTGACCTGGGTTATTTATGTTTTTTATAGTTTTATACATTATAAGTAGATGCTCTTATAAACTTGACTTTATTGCTGAAAATATATAAATTAACAAATTATAAGTTTATTTTAATATATGACTATGAACAAGTTTGAAGTGTGTATTCGATTTAATTGCAATTTCCTTATCTATAATATTTTATCGACCTATTATTTACTCTGTGTATTAATTCTAGTATAGTTTATAAATTCTAGTAAGTTTATGCATAGTATAGGTACCTTTTATTGATTAATAATTAATCTTGAATCATTATGATTTACGATCAATGACTTTGGTTCTATACTTACAATAAGCATTAAGTATTAGAATAATATATTATAATACCAATACCTAATGACTAATGATCTTATACTTTACATTATTGCTTATATTATTTAATTATTAGGTATAGGATTATAACCTATACCTACTTTTAGTTTATACTTCAATTTTAAAAACTAAATAAAACTATACCCCAATATAGATACCTAATGTAATATATTAAAATAAAGTGCACTTGGATAATTTATGTTTTGTATTTATTTGTGTAATAATTAATGCACTTACTATCTATAATTACTTCTTTGCTTAAATCAGTCCTGTTTTTATGATCAGCATTAAAAAAAACTGCTACAGTCAATTTTTTTGGATTAACCGACATGGTGGGCTTTCAAGAGCGATTAATCTCAAGAAAAACTATTTTGATTTATTTATGCTAAAAGCGATTTATGGTAAAATGCGAAACGCTCTTAGTTTGGCCATGTTATAGTTATTCTATAGTTTTGATAAAATCGTAAAACTCAAAATGCGTTCAGTGGATCCGTACCGTTAGCATTAGGAGAAAATATAAGATAGTTAAGATTCCAAAATTATTATAAAAATATTTAAGTTCGATCACTTATAATCGTGTCACATGTGTATAGTGCGTGTGTATTATTGTATAATTGTATAATGTACTTTCTATTTTTTTAATATAGATATAACAATAATTTTGTCGGCAAGAGGATGTTGGAACGAAAAAAAGATAATCTTTTAAAATCAAGATGTACCAATAATAAATGTTCAGCAAAAATTATATCATGGTTAGATAAACGTAATGGGATTGAAACTTCTGGACAACACAATTTTATTCAAAATTCAATTGAAAAAGTAGAAACACAAATTTTGAGAGAAAATTAGTAGCTATTAATATAGTTTAAAATTGAAATTGGCAATATTGCAGAGATTTTTAAGCTCAATCGTGTAGGTTTCTTATGTATTTCTATATCCTCTAATATGCCGACAAATTTGCTCAATCGTGCCGTAAAAGGAAGTTTTATGCTCAATCGTGTTACAGTCAAATACAGACATCGGAAGTCGTGCACGTGTGATCCGCGTGAAAACAAAGAACTCGAAAGCTATTGGTCCGAGTTCGACCCATCGATGTCCACTTCCTTTCGCGTCGTCTTACTGAAGCTGTTGATTATTTTTACAAATCGAATATTTTAATATATTATTCGATTAATCGATTATTTTTATCGAACGATGAATAATTGAATAACTGATTATCGATTAATAATCGTACAATCGAATTATCGGTTAATTGATTATAATCGAAAATCATATAAATATTTGATTGTTGCGGAAAAAAAAAACGTCGCACAGTATGTAGTAGGTCTCAAGATTGATTTGCACACATGCCCCGAGTAGTTTAATCATGGCACATAAGGGTAAAAACAAGTGTACAAATATTATTATTCTACACGATCATGAGACATGCATTACACATTGTTATCATTACCCGTACACGTTTTCAGAGAGCTGACTAGCTCGTTAAACAGAGAGGTTCGACTGTTTTCGTTTTTATCGAAAATTATTAACTGGATCTCTTCGCCACCGAGAAGGACTTGCGTGAAGGCTCAGGGTTATCTCGGTTGTGCAGATATTCTTCAGATATTCACACAGGGGCGGATCCAGAGTCGGAAAACTGTGGGTCAAGCCATTTCAAAAGGCCATTTATTAGGGATGAAACTGAATTAGAAATGAATACTTTGTAAAAAAAAAAAACACAATATGCTCATAAAAGTGTAGGTATAAGTATATTTATATTACATTTTAAAATTAGTGATACCACCGATAATGACATTTACGATTAATAAATATAATCTAATTTTATCAGCACAACTAACGTACGGAATAAAATACGATTTACTTAATTTTCTACTAAAACGATACAATTTAAAATATAAATTATGAATTGAAAAATTTTAAATTTTAAATATACACGGCATTCATTTTTCAAGTAACTCCGATGGGCCAACTGTCCAAGAGTCCAAATCAAGGTCTAAAAAAAAGAAAAATATGTTCAAAAGGCCAATTTTGTCAACAAATATTAACTGTGGGTCAGCTGACCCCCTGAACATCTCCCCCCTAGATCCGCCCCTGTATTCACGTGAAGCGGAGGAAAAACGGATCGGAAATGTCTGTCTTACAAAAATTACAAAAACGGTTTTACAACGGTTTGGATTGCGAACGTCACCAAGTACGGACCATATCGCGTGCGTCGTAACGATAACGCGGTACGGTAGTAGTGCGCGCACTCGGCGGGCGGTGACGCGATGAGAAATATGGAAAAAACCAATAACACAACAGTCGTACGCGGCGGCATTGAATGTTTATTCATATATGGTCAAGACCGTGGACGCCCGGACACCGGACGACGACGGCGCGGGGAACCGGATCAAGGAAGCGGTGGCGGCAGCAACGGCCTTACGCGGCGGCGGCGGAGTCGGTTTCATCTCGCGCGCGCGACGGACCTCCGCGGCCGAGCGGTGAGCCGCAGTCGGTGTCGCCCGGGTTTATGTTGTTGTGCACTCGTCGCTCCAGTTTTCGCGTGCGCGATCATTACGTGTTGCGCGTTCACGTCGCGTGACCGACGCTGCCGCCGTGTTAGTTCTGGCCAGCATCGCTCTCGCCGTAAAACGCTACGGCCGCGGACACAAATCGTCTCCCTCCCACCGCCCTTCTGCACTCCGTCCACCCCGTACGACGACCCGTCGGTCTCGGCGCGCGTATCACGTGAGCCCGCCGGGTACCGCGTGTTCCGTACCGACTTCCCGTCGGTGCTGACGATGGCCACGCTGCTGAAAAACGTCACCAACTGCATATGGCACGCGTTCGACTCACTGGACGCGGCCGGCACCGGTACCGTGGTCAAGTCCAAGCTCAAAGTGAGTACGCTCCTCCGACCGGCGGGATGGCGAATTTTTTTCTTCCCATCCTTCTTCTGGACCAGGCGCGATCGGGCCCGCGGCAATATATTCTAACCGTGATCATTTTATAAAATTAAAAATTTCTACAGTGATAAAAATAAAAACTATTATTTAAACGAGCTTCGAACGAGTTACGAATCAAATTAAATCTTATAATTTTTAATTGTATTAAAAAAAATTATTATACAATAGATTTTAGAATGTTTAATAGAGTCAGCGTGAAATTTGGGCTTGTTTTTTTTTCTAACCAATCTTTCGATATTTGGAGTAATACGTGTAACGCCCCAAGTCATAATAGGGAGTGTAAGTGTTAATCAGTCACATTTTTCTGAATATTTTGCGTCATTCATGCAAGAAAGCGATGTTCACAAACATAATTAGCACTACATAATGTAAATATATGCGTTGATAATTATTTCCTAAATTCGATTGTATATGTAATCAAAGCGAATCGGTGTACACGACCCGCGGTTTAAATATAAATTTCCAATATGGCTCTCAAGTCGAAAAAGGTTGGGCACGCCTGGTCTAGACGTTGTTATTACGCTCCGTACATGGGAACGTACCATACGTACCATACGACAGAACGATATAACTGGCTTAAGATTGCTTGCAGTACTTAACAGTGACGGGTGTATCTTAATTCTTAGGGAGGAGAGGAATTTCGAATCCACAAATTTAATGGGTTTCAAACCCTTGTTTTATTGGCAATTTATTACCTACTTTAATTCGTACGAATAATATCTAAGTTTTGTAAGTTTTAAAAATCATTTAATCAATTTATTTTTATCAAGTCTAAAGTATTAAGTTATAGTCAAAATATATAGTAGTGACGAAAATCCCAAGGGAAAGGGGCGATCCATCAATCACCCAGCCACTGATATCCGTCACTGTTTACAAATTCAAAAGTTTTTTTCGGATTTTATGTATTTTTAATTGATTGATATTGATTGTTGAAATTTGGCATGTATTTGTTTAAAATTCTAAATACTAATAGTGAGTAATAGTAATGTATGAAAAACAATTCATATTGATTTACGGTTTAACATTATAATTGACTTAATTAAACTTACCGAGACGGAGAAGGCTGTCTTGGATCGTATGTATTGCAATTAATTATTAATAAAAACCAAAAACAATTATGTATACAAAACTGATAGGTTCATAATTTTACAATATTTTGCGCATCAACTACCTATCGCATACATTGAGACGGTGTGTAGAAGCCGACCGCCACGATGGGTCAAACTCCGACCGACACCTTTCGGGTTCATTGTTTTCACGCGGATCACGCGAGCACGTCTTCCGATGTCCGTATCGATAGCGTTTTAATCGTTTTGATCCCAAATCGTCAACGTGACGTCACTGTTTAAATGTTTTTCAATCGCCGTGCATAACATTGCCTTTGCGTTACACTCACGCATGACGTCACACTCGTCGAACCATTGGAAATAAAACATTTTCCCACTAGGTCGGCAATTAATTCGTACATTTCGTTATTACAATCATCGCGTTTCGTCCACTTCTATTATACAGGTATCATTTGTTTTTGAATCTGTATCGCGTTATTATGCGCAGCAGGCATGCGCTTTGGTATAATCGGTACGTACACGGTTTGCACTCGTAGATATTATTAAATTGAACATATAAGTGTGATGTACATCGAATCGCTTAAAATGTTTATTGATGTTAAATAATCATTTAAAACTGATACATGCCAAAAATGGCAATGCTGTGCAATGTAGATAATCACTGAAATGACACATCGCAAACGTTTATTACAAATGTTAGATTTATGATTGATTAGATTGTCCAAGCGACTGAATGGTCATAATACCTCCTTGTGAACTTTAAGTAATTTAAATATATTTAGACACTATTCATATTGGAATGAACGTGAAACAACGGTCTGCAAAAACCATAAAAAAAAAAAATGGTAAAATTATAATTGATAAGATGGATGTTGAAGAATCTTAGGAAATCATGCATTTCAAAATAACAAAGTACAATATTAATGTTGAGAAAAAAGATTGTATTTACCAAAGTAAACACTTAACTAAAAAATATTTTTTTTTTAATGCACAATTTTCTTAGAATTGCTTTGTGATATGGTAAAAATGTCTGAACGATTACAAGGGTAATCGAAAAGAATTCAAACATTGACGCATTTCAGTAATTACCATAGTTTTAATAATGATTAGGGTACCTACTCGAGTCCAATATAATAATACGTAATTATGTTTATAAATAATAGGCGTGTTCCTAATCCCTACTCCACTAATGCATGTTACTACACATTAGATATTACTTGGTTTAATTGAAAATTTATAATTTACAGTGTATTTGAATTAAAAATATTTAGGTTCATATTGTGGGCGTACGAGCGTGAGATGTTTTTCGTAGGCGTAGAATTATATTCGTCCAAACAAGAGTACTGCATACAAAAATGAAACTAATATTTTTATTCTTCATAATATTTTTACAGTTATATTATAACCATACCGGTGAATTTCAATACTTTGCTGAACATTTTTTTTAAAACTTAATTCATTTGAACGTATATTCGTGTTGTCATTTACTATTAATTTTACTGTAGATATGTTTTTGTGTTGGAGTCGATACGTTCGTAAGAATGTGTGTGCTATTATACAGTGTCAGTAGGTTTTTTTATGTGCATTGAGTAAAGAGAGAGAAGTAGCTGTTAGTCAGTATACTAAAGAAGGGCAATCAAGGAGATGAGAAATGTCACAGATTGATTCAACACTGTGGAGGTACTATGAGGTGAATCATTCAAAGCCGATTTGAAGGAAATATAATGAATCGTGGAATATTGAATATATTCGTGATTCATGAGTATTGACATTGGACTCTATATCTATAAACTTTAGGTTAAGTTCTGTGTGCTCGAACAATTAATTCTAAAACGATTAAAACGAAATTTAATTAGTAATGAATAATGATACCTAATAAAAATAAAGTAAAAACGTAAAGCCTTTGATTTATTATATTAAAAATAGTTATTTAATGCAAATTTTGTTAGTGTTCACCGTCTCTATTTAAGAACAATTATAAATCATCGCATTTCAAAAACAAATCTGAACGAAGTTAAGATATCAATATGATGTGGTATTTTGAACAAAACTTTAGATGAAACAAATTAATAACAAGTTTCTAGTTTCACTAGCCACCAGGGTAGTAGATTTTATACATAACAGCTGTTGTACACCTAATAAATAGCCATATGCTAATAATAATAATCTAATAAATAAATACTAACGATTTAAGAAATAAAATTAGGGCCGTGCGAGAGGTGCGTGTGCACCGGACGATAAAAGCTTTTTCATAGTCTATGTAATATTACTGAAAGTTAACCATATTATTTAATTCATAATATTTAACACGTTCAACGCCATGGTCTCGATGCGTAGCAACTTCATTATCATTGTTTTGATCAGCGGTGATGCTAGTTTATTTTTACTATTGATATTTATTCCCCCCCCCCCCCCCGGAATTACGACATCGTTCATCAAAAATTAATAATAATATCCATTTATACTCTATTGTTATTGTTACTCGATATAATTAATTTAATAAAATTAATAACATAAACGAATGTCGACTAGAACGATTTCATTTTGAACCCTTTTGTGACAGTGTTCACATTATGGTTCACGAACGTAGAAGTTGCATAGGTACCTAATTATTTTTCATCGGCAATTATTTATAGGTTAGATATTTTTTGTGCAATTGAAATAGATTGATTTGATTTGTGAATAAGTTATACAGTTTTATTGTGATAGATTATTATCTACATGTTTCGTTATACCTATACAGTTAAGTTATATACTTATATTGTTTTTTAGTTAAATATTTCTTTTATTAATATAGTAAATACAAAAAGTAATTATATAGAACCCCCTATTCTAATGTAGTCTCCTTATAGCTCATAGGCATAAAAAAAATTTGGTAGAAAGGTGGGGGTGCTAAAAATTATTCTTGGCACCGGGTGCTAATTGTGCTAGACATGATACTGCATAATATATTTTATAATTAATTTTTAGTGCTTAGTGTACAACTGAGCGAAATTGTAAATATTTTTTTTAGTTATAGAATATTATAAAAATAATAAAAATGTATAATATAGTCAATCGAACTAATATTGGTAATATTGATAAATTTACTATAGACATCACAATGCTAATCGTCCATACACCGACACAGGTTTTCAGGTCAACATTAATTACGTTGTAATGTACTGATAACGCTATGACTGAAAGAATTAGAGAATTCTGAATATTTCCTAATACTTTCACATTATAGTAATTATATTATGATTGTACGAGAATTGTAATTGTTTAAAATATTGATTTAGCTACGGAATCATCAAGGTTTAATGATACATAGTTATTACGAGTATATTATTACTTTTTTTTACACTTTAATCCATCCATGTTAATTGTAAATACAAGGTTTGTTTAGACGGTATATTATATTATAAAATTAAGTCATCGAAGATCTCTAACTTGACATTCATATACCTTTAAACGTGAAATAATAAATATAATAATAATAGATATTATGTAGAATGTGATGCTGTTTTATTGGTTTTATGTTTTCGTTTAATTAGTGTCTATTTTAGGTATGTGTTGACATTATTGAAAGAATAATTAAATAATAGTACATTTATATTCTAACTCATGTATTTTCTCAATGTCCGATTATTTCCTTTTATGCTTATAGTCTATAGAATAATCTAATTCTAATGGTGCAAAACTTGTCAATGGTCGTTAAGTTGCATAATATGTATTGTAAATAATTTATAATAATTATTATTATTACTTCGATAACTAAATCCCAAATTGTTGGTTAGCCTTTAATGAGAGATCCATAACTATTATCTTATAAAATTATGTAAGAATTTTTGAGAGGTTTTTGATTGATTGCAGAGTAGTAAATATACTGTGTAGAGAATTTGGATACTTGTAGATCAATATTTTATAAATAATTTGTAACAAAAATACTAAAAGAAAATATTTATCTTAATAATTATATTGTTATTCATCTAAAATATAATAAAATACATTTTTAAGGTACTTATTAACAATCAATAAATAATTTAAAGACGCGATAATATATTTTTCCGATAAATTGTATTGAAGTGTAAAACAATTACTAATTTATACATTTTAATTAGTACTTGCCTAAACGGATTTTATCACTAGTAATATATTAAACAATGTTCATATTTTTTATAAATAGGTTTTAACGGCAAATATTGGTATTCTCCTTGACCTTTATGGAGTGGAAAAGGGCCTTGAACACTATAGAAGTACTACAGCATTAAACTTTCAACATTACAAATATTATTTATTAAGAGAAGTATAAATAAGTGTTTAAATTTATTAAATACTATGATCGTTTTTCTAGAAATTTAGTGTTTTAGGTTTTTCTATCATTACCAAACGTTCTATCATTATCAGTGCTTCAGGGATTTGAATCAAATATAGACGAGACTTGTTGGCTGATTTGTAAAAAAAAATATATTCCTAAATGTCAAGTATTACCAGAAGATTGTATGTATAAATTATTCAGAGTATTCTGTTTCTTGTCAGAACTCGTAGTAAATACAGAAAGACCAAATCAATTTCAAGTAATTTCTTGTTGAAAATAATCTCATTTTCTCATTTATTAAAATAATTTTATGCATAGGTTATGATGGATACATCAGAAGTAGGTTTAGTGGCTTCTCAGATTGTTACTTCATTAGGTGCTGATTGGGATCAATCTGGTTTTGAAGACCTCATCGGAAATACCATGGGATTTCAGTTTGGTACGTTTTTAACTTTATTGGAAAAACGATACTTGACTGATGTTGATCGAGCTGGTTTAGTAGAAGCATTAAATGCAGTTACTAATACATTCATTGATGATATCATAAAAAAAGTAAGAAAATTAGAATATTAATTAATTAATAATTATTTTATACATAATATCATGTTATTGATTTAAAAATATATTAATGTATTTTGTTAGGGTGTATTGTCGAAGCGTGGTTATTTATTACCAACACTTCGTGAATACTGGTTTGTATTAAAACCATGCCAGCTTTTGTACTATAAAAATGAAGAAGAAAAAGAGCAATGCGGGTCGATTACTTTAGATCCAAGATGTTGGGTGGATTCTAATTTGCAACGTATAATGTTGCACACAACTGAAAGAACTTTTGAACTTGCTACTAAGGACCATAGGTAAAGTTCATTTATAGTGTATGATATTATTTATTTTTAACTTAAAATATTAATGTAATTTGTAGATACATTAAATAATGACTTTAAAAAAAAAAAAATACACACTAAGTACCATAAAAATATTTTATAAAAACTATATTATAGTTATAAGATTATGCATAAGTCTGGAATTATAATTTTGTGTTACTTTAATAATTACTATTACATATTTCAGGAGTAGATTACAATGGTTATCTGCTTTAAAATTAGCCATAGCTTATTCAGCGGGAACAGAAGGATATCAACGTACATTATTACGCCGGAGGCAAAAACGAAGGAAAGCAGAACTTCAAGAAAAACATCGAAAAAGTAGTATAATACATGATATGGATGTTCAATTACAAGCTGAGAAACAAGTAGTAAAATTAAAAATGTTTCTACTTCTGGTTATTAATATATAATTGTTAGGCCAGGGCAGCAATGGAAATTCAAGCAAAAGAACTAAAAGTAGCTAGTGAAAAGCATGTCGAAGAACTAGAATGTTTGCTTGAGGAAGAAACGCAGGCTAAACGTGATGAAGAAATAGTTCGTAACTTACAAGCAAGGTAATATAATATATAAGAAAAATAATAATTATGAACAGTAAACAAATTTAAACAATTTGTTTTAGAGTTTTAAGAGAAGAATGGGAAAAAAGAGAAGAGCTTGAAAGATTACAAGAGGAGCAAAGATTATTACTAGAACAAGAACGGGAAAAAAGGAAAGAATTTGAGATCAAACAACGAGAGAAAGAAAACCAGTTACTTGGTAAGATTTACATGATAAATTATTACTTATAATATATTATTTGTGTTTTTAAGTTTATAATACCATTATATAATGGAATATTGATAAATTAAATAGGACAGGGGAAAAAAAAATAAAAAAAAATGAGACACATGCATGTTTATTTCAGTAATTTTTGATAATTTAATTTATTAGTCATAATCTGACAAAGAATTCAAACTATCACTAAAATAAATCCCAAAAAATTCTCTATTGAAACGCAGGAAAAGTTCCTTCAAGTTCTCAAAATAATAACATTTAGAGATGTTTGAGTTATTAAGGTTCTTCTGTTAAATATTATTAAATATGATATACAATTAAAAATAATTATTTTATTGTTATAGAAGCACAACAAAGATTAATTGAATTAGAAGCTGAAAAACAACGACTTGATGATGAACTGACAAGAGCTCAAAAAAAAATTAGTGTTTCTGAAAAAGCAGTTGCATCACTTACCATCGTAGACCCTGTAATATACTATACTATTTATATTTATAACAATTTGCTATAGTTTTAATTAAGTTAATTAAATATATTATATGCTATAATTTATAATATTCAAACGAATTATTAAATGTAGTTGTATTTACAGGCAGAAACATTGAACATCAAACCACAAGTCAAAGTGAGAAGGACAATGTCATTCATTCCATCCACAAAGGAACGACCAATTCATTTTTATAAGTGAAAAGACTATTTTTTTATTTATACATTTAAATAATTGTTTAATTTATAAATTTCTTGTTTATATAAAAATTAAGGAAATACTTTATTTATTATTTAAATTATAAAAATCATTTATACAATGAGTTTCAAACTTTATACATAAATTGCTCACACTTACATAATTATATCATTGTTTTCATTTTGATGTTGTAAATATGAGAAGAAAAAAGTAGTTATTTATTTAAAAGTTGTATCTCTAGGGCGGTATGGAATGCCTCTGGCTTTCATCTCTCTGATAAAATTTGGAGGTAATCGACCAGCAACGGATATAGCATAAATTCCTTTGGTAAATCTGTCTACAAAATTGACAATATGTTTTATATTTTATATTTTGAAACAACTTGAAAATAAATACATGACTAAATATACATACTGATTTTTTGCCATCTGGCTACCCAACTGTCTTCAGGACTCATTAGTGCAATCATTCTAAGTATAAACAAATAAGATAAATTTAATAAATAATATAGATATTATTTTAGTAAGATTTATAATACATACCCATCAAAATTTGAACTAGTACAGTCATAAACATGATCACGGTTATTTTTCATTCTTAGAAATTCATCACAATTATCACATCCATCATATTCAAACTGATCAAATGACTTAAAAAAAATATATATATAAATATATACAATTAAATGTTCAGTATTTTTTTTTTTTAAAAATTTTAATGAATATGATAAATAAAATGTTATTAGTTATAGTAAAATTATTTGAATTTAAAATAAGATTAAAGTGCCATGATTTACTTTTAATGATAACAAAATATAATATAATGTTAAAGAACTGTATTTATAAATTTATATAAGACCAAATAGAGAGTTTAATACCATTATTTTTAATATAAATACGTTTTGTGTAATAATTAATTAAGGCATTTAAATAATATTTAAAAGTACAATTATTGATCATAATTATTAGTACAGCAGTATTTATAGCAAGAAAAAATCTAAATATGCTCTTGATAGAAAATACATAAACAAATATGCATTAGAAGATTCAGTAATTGTTCATATATAGAATAAATTATTTGTTTCCTAAATTAAAATGAGTAGATTTGCTTTATTTTGTAGATTCTACAACAATTACTACATTTATTAAAAATTATCATTTTCAAAAAAGTATGAGGTAAGACATAAAATATAAATTAAGAAAAATAAAAAAATTAAATATTCAGATGGCCTTTAGAGTGATGAAGTATAATATCTAAATTCAATAAAATCAAAATGGAACTAAGTACAAATCCATTTTTGGTTAATTTGTTAATTATGCTTGATGGTTAATACATAAATTTAGAAACATATTGTACTTTTGAAGTAAAAATGTTGACCATTAATGGCATAAATTATTACATCTCATTGCAATATTTATCCAGAACAATATTTATTTTAGATATTTGTAATTTGTTCCGGGTTTCAAACATAAACAAATCAAAATTTGAAAGACTGGTTATAAAATTGTAGAATTAAAATAAAAACTATCAATATTTAATATTTATTTTAAATACAATTTAATTAAATAAAATAATTTATTTGTATGATGAGATATGTTTTAAACAAAAATTAAAATTACCTTAATTAGTGAACACACTAAACATGCTCTTGCATTTCTCATATCTTTAGGTATTGATTCCAGCGACATTGTGAATTAGTAGGTTAAAAACAATATTAATACCTACCAAAAACAATTTGTATGGTATTAATTAATCATTAACACGAGAAAAAGTTTGTGAAAAAAAATAACTTTACTATAAGTTTATAGTTGTGTTATATGATTTGTATTAACTTATTGAAAATTTTAATTTGTAGATATCTGAAAAATGTAGTTGAAATAAAATAAATAACTGGAATAAAATTAAAGTTTAGTACTATGTATCAAGAAGTAAAAAATCAATAACCAAAAATGTAATGAACTATTGAATGTTAATAAATGTTTAATGTTTTTATTAATTTTTTTTATCACCGAATCGAGTTTGCTTTTTATCAGAAAATGTAGTTTCAACCTCAAAGAGGTTATACACCACCTGTATCTATGATATCCATGCCAAAATACACGTATGGAATATAGTCACCGGTGCAACAACCGTAAATTTTTATTTTTCTAAATTTTTAGTAGACATAAAAAACTGTTTATAAAATTGGCAAATATTGAAAACGTGGCACTAAAAATTTCGTTAGAATGAGGTAGGTACGTCAATTAATAAATCCAATTTCATTGGTAAGTATACATAGGCACTATGTACATAATAGGTAGTATTTATAAAAAAACAATAAAATTATGATAAATCGTTGACCAATTAACACTGCCATCCTAACCACCAATAACGCTCTAGATCAACACTGTTTGACGCCCCTCTCCCTCATACAAAAAAATATTTATTTAATATTTTTAATTAACCTCTTACCTTAAATATGTTTAATACTTATTAATTAAAGGTTCCTGCTTATTTTTTTATTACTATTATTTTAATCTTATTTATATAAATTTATTTACCTATTGTTTTTATGATTTTTTGAAGTTGACACTAAGTTCATTATTCTGAGTAGGTACAATATAAAAAGAAAAATAACACTATTCAAACATAACAGTATATACAAATTATAAAAAAATCTTTGTATTCATATAGTACATATAATTATGAGTTATTTATAAATGTATAATATATTAACAAAATATTCAAAGTAATTAATATCTTTTATGCTTATAAAAGCTAAGTTTATTTACAGAATTCAGTTGAACTACTCTAACTTGATTTATTTTTAGATTTTGGTAAAATTGATAATGAGTTGATTATAACTAAAGATATCTATACCTAATACCATTGATAATAAATACAGTATATTTTATAATCAATGATAATTAATGATACCTATACAGTGTACAGTATATCTTTGAGTTTTGGGTAATAAACTAGGTAATAATAGTTATCATGATTCAGTCAATCACAGTTCACAGATAATAATAATATTGATAGTTATGTACCTATTATTGAAGGACTATATAATAAACAATTTGACTCATCTTCGATATTACAGTAGGTATAAAAAGAAAATTAATATTTAAAATAAAAACATCAATTTTTTTTTTTCAATTTTTTTATGACGCCCCCTAAATTCATAATACTTTGGACGTCCTAGGGCATTTTCCCCATTTGCCAATCCCCCCTCCCCCTTGGGACGGCTATGCCAATTAACGAATTGAACAATGAAAAAAAAATGTATTATTTATTATTATTTCGATTAAATGCTTAAATAAGATAATACTTTTAATCTAACAATATACAAATAAAACGCTCATAGATTTTTAGTGTTTTTACATTTAGAAAATAAAGGTATGCATTTTGTTGTATGAGGTCCGCGAATCTTTATTGAGCACCGGATAGATGACAATCTAATTAAACAGATTAACAATAAGTAATTGACTACGATTTATACTCGTATATAAATCATAAGAAAACATAGTTTCAAATTTTAAATATTTTTTAAATTATTCTAAAGGTATTTTATAATATGCCTTGGTTATAATAAGCATTCAGTGAAATGTCTTGGCAGATAAAAAAATCCATTAAAACTAAATGACTGTTTAGGCAGGTAGAAACATTTCTGATGTATATGGCGATAGCGTTTCCAAATCCTAAAGTTAAAATTAAATAATATCCACTTTATATTCTGTTTATGTAGTTTTTAAAAGGTAATGAGATGTTTTAATTAAAAATATTGAGATTAAGGAATTGGCTGGGCTATGAAAGCCACAGCGGTTTATTAACACAGCGTTCACATTGAAAAGAATGCTAATTCATTGGATTAGGAAAACAACAATTATGAACGTGGTTTGCGTAGAATCGTACTTGTTTAAAAAAATTTAACCTTTTTACATTTTTTTTTAAATTACTTATAATGTTAAAGAAAAGTTCAATAGAAAAATGAAATAAATAGAATTAGTTGATGAATAAAATAAGTTGAAATAAGTTCACTAGTTAATTTCTGATCTCAAAGTTATCGAGACAATAATTTGACATATCTGTAGAAAAATATATAATAATCCTATTTGTATTCATATTTATGATCAAACTGTACAAAAACATGTATTTTAGTCAATATTTGAAAATAAGGTCAGAACAAATGCACAAGACACTTTTATTATGCAACATATAATTGACGCGAAAAAATTAAATAGGTAAATAGTTAATTGTTCTAGCTTGTTTGAAGCATTTATTATTTTACAATGACATCTTTCCAACTATAATCTATTAAAAACTTGGCTTGTCCAAAAAAATTGGTAAAATCATTTGTCAAATTTTAGCGATTCATCGTTATGGAATTATTCTTCAAACTTGTAATATTGCTATCAGACGTTAGTGGCATATATAATACTAGTTTACATTTTTTTGACGTTCACACTATTCTGCCGTAATTTGATCTATACGATCAGTGTGTTTTGAAGTCTTATTCGTTGACAGGAGTTTTTTTTTTATCATTCAGCTGTACTTATTGGAACCATCGTGATAGGAATATATTATACTACAGATATAAATAATTTATATATATTTTTTAAATATAATTTGTGTCTGCGGTACAGCCAATATTTATGTTTGATATGATTTCGTGAAGCGTTCGCGTTAAATATTGTCATCGTATGTTAAAAAAAAAAACCGAGCCTTAAAATATTATTCTATGTCAAAATGTTCCTTTTAACTTTGCGGCATTAATTTAGGAACCACTATAGGTTATAATAATCCAAGCGTTGATGAAATGTAAATGTATACGAAAAATGACTAGGCCAATAATAATTGCAAATTTTAGCAAATGTAAATAATAACTATTCACTTGTTGGTAAACTTTTTTCTCCGGCTTTTTGTCGTAGTATAATATTAAATAACACAGTAAAACATAGTATATGTGTATGTATATATATTTTATAGTAGATGCGGGCATGTATACTGTCGAAAATGGTAGGAAAATCAGACGTTCTGAAAATAATGTTAAAATAATAAAGAGCATGTTTCCCTTAGTTAGTACATAATTTAGTTGATTATTATTCAATGGTGTGTAAACACTTGAAGGCAAACAATGGCGGTTCTATTTTAATAATTAATTTTGCAAGATGTTGCATTGCCCGTACACCGGAAACAATGGAAGCTAAAGGCTAAGGGCCTTATTTTAGAATCCTCTATCACACATACAAACACACATGTATGTACGCACTCACGCACCCATACATATGCACGCACATAGTACACTCACACATGTACAAAAATTAATATGACACGGTATGTTTGATCACAAATCGTGGTTAGCGAAATTGATTTTTATTTAAATTGTAATAATGCTCGACAAATTCAAAATTTATTAGAATTCACTTATATAGGTATTGTACGCATTTTTTCTTACATATAATAAAATAACAATATTTTCATCCCCGTTTGAGTTTTATAGGATTATATTACATAAATTAATAGTTTATACACAGAAATAAATAAATAAATAAATAAATGAATGCTGAGCATGGAGTATTTTTATATTTGTAAAGTACGACCAGTTTCGAATTAAAAGTTCAACATCAGGTACCTACTCGTATAAAGCCAATAAAATCAAACTGATTATGAACAAATAAAGGAAGGAATACACTGAAAAAAAATTGGTCATTTAACAAAAAAAGAGATAATTTATTTTAATAGGTGAAAATATTTAAAATGAGTTCTTATTAGACATAGATATGTTATGAAATATAAATACTTTGGTTATTATTATTTATAATGATCTAATATTTAAAATCGATTTGTATGTTTAAAACAATATTAAAATAATTTTTTAAATTAATAAAATTAATATCCAAAAAAGGTACAAGATAGTTTTTCTTGGCATTAAAAATGTATATACATTCATTCTTAAACTCGAAATAGTAAATATTTCAAAAAATAAATTTATACACAGTTATACATTCAATACAAAAAAGGTAAAAGGCAAAAGGCCTGAATGGCCCATAAAGCAAAAAAAAAAAAAAAAATACATTCAATACAAACAAAATACAAGAAATTATTTAAACAATAAATGCAATTACTAATAAAAATTATTTCCAATGTATTAAAAAAATTATTATTGCCAAAAAAGGTTAGTTATGGATGGATTTTTAAGAACTTTTTTATCTGAAATTTACATGTAAAATTATGAAACTTCTTCTTCTTTATTTTTAGGCTTTTACAGGCCTTTAAGGTCCATCACCGCAACAACATATTGTTTCCATTCTTTTCTATCATTTGCACGTTCTTGTGTGTTTCTTACGATCAGGAATTTCAGGTCTTCTTGTAGGTACTCTATCCACCTATCTTTGCCTGAGGCGTCCTCGAGGCCTCTTAGTGTCGGGTTCCATTTAGTTATTGATCCAATCATTTCTTCTGATTTATGAAACTAATTATATTATTAATAACAAAGTATAAAATATATCGATATATTGATGACACTTTCATTTTATTTAGAGGTTTAAATAGACAACTAGAAAATATAGTTTTAGATTTAAACAAAATAAATAAAAAACATTGAATTTACACTTGAAATACAAAAAAATTATAAATTAAATTTTTAGATCTTACTGTTTCCATAATAAATAAAATATTTGAATTTGGTATTTACAGGATAAATGTAATTGTAAAAAATTGTATATAGGTAAAACAAATAGAAGTTTTAAAGTAAGGTATAATGTCTGAAATAAAATGAAAAGAAACTTCTCCTAATTCAAATTAGTTAAACATGCTTTAGAAAATAACGATAATATGTATTTTGATATACCCAAAATAACATTCACATTAATTCAGTTTTAAAATAATTACATATACACAGTTAAATAAAGTACAAACATTTTAATATTATAAATGTACAAACTGATTTTAAAAATAATATCTTGTATGAATACATTTTATATAATACTCGTAATAAATAATAATAATCAAATTATTTATATTTCTTAACATATTTATGTCTTATAAAAACTCATTTTAAATAATCCATCCTATTAAAATAAATTATCTCTATGTTAAACGAAAAATGTTTATCAATGTATTCCTTTCTTTATTTTTTCATATTCATTGATGATTTTATTGTCTTCTTATATATCTGATGAATTTATATTTCGAAACCGGTCGTATATTATAAATATAATAATAAGCTAAGTATAAGTAATAATAGTA